TGGACAAACGATGAATGAATAATAAGCATACAATATTAACATCCCGGAAACAATAAGCATACAATATTAGCATCAATTACAAAGTAGCAGATATACAACCTAAGTTTTTACAATATGTCATATTATAATTAAGTTAAATTATAGGAATTTTACCAAAATATATAAATGGAGTAGATTTACCTGAAAAATGGAAAATGGTTTGGCCTACACGTTAGCAGCAATTCACGACTTCCACATGGAAGAGGCCATCACATTTTGCATTCTTCTACCACAATTTGTAAAAGGAGTGAATTTATCATGAACAAATTGATTTCACCTAGCCCTACAAATTGCCTGAAGCTTTCTAATGGTGTGAATTTATCAGAAAATAAATGAGTTCGCCGAACATTTGCACCGTTCACAGCTTTCATATGACCATACGGCCATACCCATCAATTTGAGAATTCTTCTCCCTCAATTTGTGTAATATCAAAAATCAAAATGGAATCCAAAAAGCCTAATTCTTCCCAAAAATACATAACAAGGAGCTTAACCCAATATAGGAAACCTCAAGCACCGACCGAAACCTTCTTTTATAAGGGGTTTATGATTAAAAAAACAGAAAACCCAATTAGAACGGATGAGAGGAAATATCAAAATAAATGAGTATTATGATGTCTCGCAGAAGCTATGGAGTATCGAGAGGGTCAGGGAGAAGTCAGGGTTAAAAATGAACCTTCTCGTAAGTGAGCATGTCTGAAGTGCAAGGAGAGTTAAAATCCCGCTGAACGAATAAGTCACAACTTGACTGAGCGAATAAGTCATTTTTATCATTAAGTCGCAAGTAAACACGAGTATATGGATGGACGATTAAGTCATCTATTCAATTAAGTCCATTAAGTCGTAAGTAAACGAGGCCTAAGTGCCTTACCCCTATAGCCGGTCCTGGTATTAACTCATATGTAGCATGTATAATGTATATTACGTGTAGATTATTATACTTAATTGTACACTTGTAATATCCAATTCTACTACCAATACAGTGATTTAATATAAACGCTCATTTCTTTTAAACATAATACTCTTTATGCGAGCACCCTAGAATTGACTGTACTGTACAACAGTACAAGCTCTCTCCCTTAATCGCATGGAATCCTTTACAAAGGAGAAAATGGTCAAAATGGTACATGAAATCGCTTCGCCGGAAGTAAGTAGTACTTCATGAAATTTTAAAGTACACGAACTTGTATTTTTATAGTCGATCAAGTACATCTGCTATGTCAGAACATTAAAACAGCAGCTGACCTGGGCAAACTATCTATTTGTATCATAAGTTGCCCAAATAATTAATCTAGAAACTCTATTCCCCCCAGTCCACTCGTTTTCACCTTCGCTCTTCATCTTATATTTTTCTCGTCCGTTCTCGATTATCTCCGCTCTACATCCTATGTTTTCCCCGTCTGCTCTCCCTGTTATCCTGTCGACTTCTTCTTTTTGCTCTATTTTAGTTTCTTATTCTTCTTCTCTTGCTATAATAAAGATGGACTGATAACAAATAAAAGAAGAAGCCGGCGGGATAGCATGGAGAGCATACGAGAGAGAAAAAGAGAAGCAGGGGCGGAGCTAGAGGGTGGCCAATCTAGTCCCTGGCCCACCCCAAATTTTAGAAAAACTTGTAATTTTAATCTACAAAATTTTGTTTTAATTTTTTTCCCCAAAACTATTCTTTGTACTGGTCTAGTCCAGCCCAGTGCCCTGACTCTGCCCTTGGTACACGACGTTGTTTCAAGTGGAGTAAGTAGTACTCCATATTACATACTGATAGTTTGGCCAAGTCAACTATTTTAACGTTCTAACAGGGCAAATTTACTTAATCGACTTTAAAAGTGCAAGTTCATGTACTTCGTAGTTTTAAGTGTAAAATGGAGTACTACTTATTTCATTTGAAACAACATCATGTCCCATTTTGACCATTTTCTCTTTTACAAAGTCAAAGCAATCTACTTCGGACAAACTGACATACCTATACAGTTATACTACGTATATTTTCTATCAAAAAATTGAAAAGAACTATATGTGACTCCCTTATGGAGCCATGTGTGATGATGTGACATTATCTCTAACATTTATATTTTTAGTGGGGTCATTCACTAAAAAAGTAAGGGCATGTTTACTTCACCGGTTACTAAACGGTGCTTATTAAGTCCCGCGTTAATAAGCAGCGCATAAAATAAGCAATGTTGTAAGATGGTGTTTGCTTCAAAGAGTTTAAAACACCGTTTAACATTAAAATGTCCAAAATAACCCTATACATATATAGACACACAAATATTCAAGGACACAAGTATATAATATAATATGTGGGGTCACCTCGTACGTGTACCCATACCCCTAACCCCGCCTCAACTCCCAACCCCAACCTTACCCTACACCCTACACCCAATTCTACACCCTTGACCCTACCTTTACCACGACCTTACCATCTATCCCTAACAACTACCCTACTCGTAGGGGTGAGGGTAGGGTAAGAGGGTACATGGGGTTGGGGTTATGGTCGAGGGTAGGGTGCTTAAGGGCTAGGGTGGGTGTAATGGGGTAGGGTGGGGTCGAGGTAGGGGAATGTGGTAGGGGGTAAAGAGGTAGGGGTCCTCGGGGTATGGAAGGTACGGGGCGGGGGGGTGGTAAGGTGGGTGAGGGGTAGGATGACGATAGGGTGGGTCGGGATCAGGGTGGGGCCGAGGTAGGGGTAAGTGGTAGGGGGTGGGGTAGGGTTGTGGTTAGGGGTAACAGTGGGGGCGGGGTAATGTAGGGTAGGGTCGGGGTAGATAGGTGGGGGTAGGATAGTGGTAGGGTGAGGTCGGGATGGGGGTGGGGCCGAGGTAGGGGGTAGGTAAGGGGTGGGGGTAGGGTGGTAAGGGCTAGGGGTGGCAGTCAGTAGGGTCAGTAGGGTGAGGTGGGGTCGGGGTGGGGCCGAGATAGGGGCAAGTGGTACGGGCTTGGGTCATGGTTAGAGGTAAGGGTGGGGGTTGGGGTATTTTAGGGTAGGGTAGGAGTAGGGCTAGGTAATAATTGGTGTGGTGGGGGTGGGGTGGGAGTAGGATGGCGGTAAGGTGGGGCCGGGCTGAGGTAGGGGCATGTGGTAGGGTGTAGGGTAGGGGTAGGTGTCACGCCCCGGACCTACCGGACACGTCAACAACCCGCCGTACAGTACGAATAGTCAACCGCAGTCCAACTCATCCATACTATATTAGGCGTCTTGAATACCTTTCACACATAGTACATCCATAAACCATCATAATGTAAAATATTTAATTAAACAGCGGAAACATAATTACAAATATTCAAGCCACACGTGGCAACCACGGGCATACAAGCCCCCAAATAAATATTCGAAATAATATCCATGAGCATTATTTAAATTGTTTTCAAAACAGAAACAGGAGAAGCACGAACCCCGCCTTCCTCCTTGAATTCCCCAAAGCAACGAGCGGTAGTAGCAAGCTCTACTCCCTACCTGAAACTGTGAGGTGGCCTCCCCCGTGAAGGGGAGGTCAGTACTTGGAAGCATTTGACAAGTACAATGACAACTATACTAAGTATAATCAAAGTTTCAATTTCCAAGACCCTCAATCTAAGATGTTATTCATTATAATTAACTCATATTCCTTCATGCTAGAGCTCGGCTCATAGTCACACTACGTTTGCTAGAGCTCGGCTCATAGTCATACTAATTTGTGCTAGAGCTCGGCTCATAGTCACACTACGTTTGCTAGAGCTCGGCTCATAGTCATACTAATTTGTGCTAGAGCTCGGCTCATAGTCACACTACATTTGCTAGAGCTCGGCTCATAGTCATACTACCACGTGCTAGAGCTCGGCTCATAGTCACGTCATCTAATCCCTAAACCACTTCTTAGTCTAGGCTCCATTCCCTTTAGAGTAACCCTTGAGGCCTACTCCTAATATATCTTGACTTCACAAAGTCCACCCTAAATATCCTTTAAGGTTACTTAACTCCAATACCTTGGGATTTGCCCCCAAGCACTATTGAGCTAACATCCCCGACTAGTCTTTCTACACTAGTCGTTTATTCTTAATAACCCAATGCAATTTCATAATAATTCGTATATTTCAATTTAATTCCATCTTCAAGTATAACTTGACGCAAATATTAAAATATCACTTTTATTCCTCCCATGAGGTAAAAGTATATTTATCACCATATAATTTGTAATTTATACAACAATTTGGCCATTTTATTCATAACACATAATCATACATGATTTATTCATAAATTTGTGTATTATGCATTTTTACTTATAAACCATAATAATCTCATATGGGCGTTTAAGCTATTAATAATTCATGCCAACACATATATATATCATTCGAGTAACCTTATGAAATTAACCCAATAATTATAAGCAATATAGTCGGTCATCCTCACCTTAAGTGAGCTAAAGCGCGTTCTACGCTCCCCGATTGAACTTTGACTAACTCCGGTGAACTTTGACCAACTCCGGCGAACTTTGACCAACTCCGGCGAAACTCCGGCGAAGCTCAAAAATACTTTAATCAAGTTCCTAACAAGGTTTTAACATCATGAACCCTTAATCAATACAAATAACCTCTAAAAGGTCATTTTCCGGTGAACTTGTCGGTTTGGCTTCTAAGTCCGTTTTTGGACATAGAACCAACTTCCAACCCATTATTCCACACTCATAACATGTAGAACAATCCTAAGGGTCCTTCATATGATATATATCTCATATGGTAGAAGAAAAATAAAGGAAAAGTTATGATAAGGCCATTACCTCAACTTTTCTCACTTTTTCCTAGCTTTTTTCCTTCTTAAACCACCTTCTTTGGACTACCCCTTCTTGAGCTCGTGCAGCAGCAATGGAGTAAGGCTTGAGGGCTTTCTCTTCCTCCTCACTTGATGGTTTGGCCGAATAATGCAAGGGAAAGGGGGGTAGGGGTTCCTCTTTGTCTCATTTGGCAAATGAGTGAGGTCAAAGGGTCCCTTTGCACCTCCTCCACTCATTCTCTTGACAACCCAGCTCTCCCATGTCTACTCTTGCACACAAAAACGTGGGGTGGCCCCCACTCATGTGGGAGGTCATCCCTTTGTGTCCCAATGTGTACAATCGGTCCCGAAAGTTGTATTTTTCGGACTGTTTTAAATATATTTTATTTTATCGGGTCAAATAAAATATATTATGCGTTCTCAATCATTATACCCTTTATAATGAATATACATTCCCAAACTTTAATTTATAAGTCCCCGAAATTCAATTTCGGGCTTTTATCGGTTAAATTATCAATACCGATATTTGGGCTTCTTTTGACCCATCGGTCAACTCTGGACCTTTCCATGGTTCAAATGAAGTAGCCACCACTATATAAATATTATCTTGACCAAGATAAATAAAATATATGGTTTCGGGAAATTCGGGCGGCCCCGCTCCCGGTGTGGGTCCCACGTGCGAATTTACTATTCGTGCAAAAGAATTATTAGAAATTCGTAACATCATAAATTCGCTAACCATTCCATAAGGTTAAAATACAATATCCACTTAAAAGTAAATACACTTGGGGACGGTGTTACAGTAGGGGTAAAGTACGTGGGTGGGGTGGGGTGGTCAGGGTGGGGTCAAGGTAGTAGGGGGTGGCAAGTGGGGTTGGGATCAGGGTGGGGCCAAGGTAGGAGGTGTAGGATGAATTATACACGAAGAAGGAGACAAGTAAAGGCAATCAAAAGCTCATACATTGAACATAAAACGTAGGCTTAATATATAGCCAATTACATGAGATAATGACCATACAATAAGCTAACAATCTCCTAATTTGTAGCCATGTTCAAACGTGCTAAACAACTCAAACAACCACTCAACAAAAACTCCTAAATAATAGGAACCATATTTAGACTTATTCAAAATAACAATAAATGAATAATTCTTAAGGAAGTAAATCAAATGCTACGTATGCATGAAGCCATGCAAGCCAATGCAGCCACGTGTGACTAAGTTGGATTACTTTCAACACCACCCCTTGATCCAAGCTTAGTCATCCCAATTCTCTTCACAAAGTGATAATGTTTTGCATGATTTAGAGCATTTGTAAACAGGTCTGCATTTTGCCAATCTGTGCCACAAAACTGAAGAGAAATCCTTCCACTTGCCACTAGTTGCCTGATGAAGTGATACTGCACATCTATGTGTTTTGTTCTTGAATGATAGGCTGGATTTCTTTACATTGCTATAGCTGATTTGTTGTCACACCATAGCTCAACACTTTCAGTCTGCATGCATCCCAAATCTGTCAATAACTTGCTTATCCATAGAGCTTGTTTTGTTGCAGATCCTGCAGCCACATACTCAGCTTCTGAGGAAGATAAGGCAATGGTTTCTTGCTTCTTTGAACTCCATGTTACTGTTCCTGAACCTAGATCAAAGACTAATCCTGACATGCTCTTCCTATCATCCACACACCCAGCCCAATCACTGTCAGAATACCCTCTCAATTTGAATTCTTTCACACTTGAATACCATAGGCCAAACTCCAAAGTTCCAGCTACATATCTCAGGATTCTTCTTGCAGCACCAAGATGTTGCTTTGTTGGCTTCTGCATATATCTTGACACAATGCTAACACAGTAAGCCAGATCAGGCTTAGTATGTGTTAGGTAATTGAGTCCTCCCACCATGCTTCTATAAAGTGTGACATCTACCTCTTCAGTACCATCACACTTCTAAAGTTTCTCACATGCATTCATGGGTGTAGCTATAGTCTCACAAGCCTCCATGTGAAACCTTTTTAGCAAGTTAAGAGCATACCTTTTCTGACATAGAAAAGTACCTTCTTTTCCTTGCTTTACTTCCAAGCCAAGGAAGTACTGAAGCAGACCCAAATCAATCATCTCAAATTGATTGGTCATTGAGACTTGAAAAGAGTTTAACATGCTTTGTAAAGAACTGAAAAAGATGATATCATCAACATAAAGGCATACAACTAGGAATTCCATACCTTCTTTCTTGATATACAAAGTAGGCTCATTGTCACTCTTCTGAAATCCTGTTTTGCAGAAAAAAGAGTCAATTTTGCTATACCATTCTCTAGGGGCCTGTTTTAACCCATACAGAGCCTTCTTGAGTTTGTACACTTTGTCTTCTTCCCCTTTCTTCACAAAGCCAGGTGGTTGATGAACAAACACTTCCTCAAGCAAGTCACCATTAAGGAATGCCGACTTAACATCCAATTGATACATAGGCAGCTTCCATTGTGTATTAAGGGCAAGGATAATTCTTACAGTTTCAAACCTAGCTACAGGAGAGAAGGTTTCTTCATAGTCCACCCCTTCTTGCTGAGCATAACCTTTGGTGTCACGCCCCAGACCGCGTCTGTGCCACGTGGACAACCGTCGTACAACCCAATAAGAATAACTGCAGTTCATCCTTACCGAATTATACAAGATGTCCGAAAGATACATATGCCAAAACCGATTAGTAAACATACATAACAACATCAACATACAATCAAACACATAGCGGAATATAAGTGTTTAGTAAGAACCCACACAAGGGTAAAACAAGAGCTCTCAGGCTCCATTAATTTATAAGTGAAAATAGTTCCATGAGCATTATTTAATTATTTAAAAATAGAACGAGAGGAAGCACGAACCACGTCTTCTCTCCATCGATCTCCCGAGCAACGGGTGCAGGAAGTAAGCTCTAGCTTCAACATGAAAGGGTGGTTCCCCCGAGGGATCAGTACTACAGAAAAGTACTGGCGAGGGCAAACTGTATGTAATGTAACTAACGTTTCTCACGTGAGACCCTCAAAATAGGGTGATAGTACAATTATTGGCATAACTCTTAGCTACCCCTTTTCAAAACAAAATGTATACATATATACATATGAGTAAAATATCTGGCCCATGGGCCCATTTGTCTTTCAAATCATTTAGACGTAACAGCCTCATTAAACTCACCCTTCCCATGTCTTACCCTCGAGTGGAGTCACCCGCAGGCTAACTCACTCGATACCAAAATATAATTACTATGAGGCCCTTTGGACTCCCATATCACGGACATGGTTTAAATCAATTCCTAGACCAAGGAAAATATTCTATCGGAAACTCGTTCCCGATCAAGCACGTTTAATCATTTAAAATCATTACTTCGAGGTTCACCTACCTCGAGGACTATCCGTCCTTGCTATCATAGTTTTCATTTCCGGGTTAACCCCGCCTTGAGGAGTACGCATACACCCTCATCCCATGTGTAATTTACTGGAGGTTAACACACCTCAAGGACTACACGGGCCCTTGTTACCTATATGCACTTTGATGGAGGTTAACACACCTCAAGGACTGCATTTGCCCTTGTTACCTATATGCAATTTGATGGAGGTTAAACACACCTCAAGGACTGCATTTGCCCTTGTTACCTATATGCAATTTGATGGAGGTTAAACACACCTCAAGGACTGCATTTGCCCTTGTTACCTATATGCACTTTGATGGAGGTTAACTCACCTCAAGAACTGCATTTGCCCTTGTTACCTATGTGTAATTTACTAGAGGTTAAACACACCTCAAGGACTACACTTGCCGTTGTTACCTATGTGTACTTTACTGGAGGTTAAACACACCTCAAGGACTACACTCTTGCCCTTGTTACCTTATCTTGCCTTGCAAGTTCTTTAACAATATAATTTGTATCATCATACTCAAATCAACTTAGGGCTAACCTTTATCAAGGCTTCCCTCTTACCTCAAATCATGAGTGGACCGCCCCGGGTCTAAGTCATGCTCATTCAACTAGTTTCGGGCCTCACCAGAACCCGAGTTACTCATTGAGACATTTAAACTTAATATTTACATTACCGACCTTAGTCGTGATAACCCTAGGTCAACTATAGGTCAAGCATAATTTTAAAGTTGGTGCCCAACTTAAAATATCAAACCACGGGTTAACCTCGCACCGACTACCCGTATGAATTATCGTTTGGAAATAAGGAACTCCGACCGGCGTCAGACATAAGCCAACTGGCGCCGGACGCACGCATTAATTGTTCGAAGAAAACAGTTCCAACCGGCGCCAGACCTCGGTCCACCGGCGCCGGACATTCTTCTTTTGGCCGGCAAAAACTCACGAAACCGGCGCCGGATCTTGCCCAACCGGCGCCGGACTTTGCTGCTCCTAACGGCCAAGTCCGCCTGTTTTGAACCGGGGCCGGACGTCTCCTAACCGGCACCGGTCAACGCCCGGTCAACGGCCGATAACTTCGGTCAACTCCCGTTTGACCATCCAAACGGAGTCCAATTTCCACGAAATTTTATACACTTATACAACAAGTCATTCTTAGTCCAAAGTGTCATTTTAGACGTCCAAATCATCACACATAATTTTTAATTATTTTCTGTCCAAGTTAAAGCATATAAAGTATACTTATTAATACCATTAATAAGTAAATATTGCCTTAATACATTCTTAGATGTATTTTAACATTTCATGGAATATCATTCTGATTTATTTGAGTAATCTCATGACCAAGCCCAAAGCATGGCTCGTGATCCTTTCTTACAACCTTTTATTCACACCATTAATTGATTAACCATTAATTATGTCATATTTCCATAATCCATAATTAATATGGCAAATCACAATATCACATATCCTTTTTATATTTCCTTACTAGATAACTCTAGTTAATCACATACATAGTTCAAGTCTACCTTTTTATTCATTTAAGAAAATATACTCATGATTAATTAATAAATTAATCTATTCTTTCATTAATCATATAATATCTCCATAATCCATATTTAGTATGGGTGATCACATGTTCACATATCTCTTCATATATTCATGTACTACATTACTCTAGTTAGTTCCATGCATGGTCCAAATATACCTTCTTATATATTTGAGAAAAATATATTCATGATTAATTAATAAATTAATCTATTTTTTTCATTAGCCATATTCACCATGACTAATCATGCATTTTAATACATTTAATCATTTCTTAAATCATGGTTATGATTTTATTTAGGTAATCCCACGTTTCGAACCAAGAGTTACAAGACACGTAGTCGTCCACTCACCTTGAAATGACGCTAGCAAGCTTTTATCTTCTTTGTTCGAACTCCGGCGACTTTTGAAATTTCCGGCGAAACCTCCGGTGGCTCCGGTGACTTTTCCGGCCACTCCTAGATTCCTTGAGAAGTCTAGAATATCTTGGTAAAAGACCTAACAAGGTTTCATAAACCAAAAGTGGTATAAACATCAAAACCTTCTGAGAAGGTGTTTTCCGGTGAACCGGTCTTACTCCGGTCATAACTCCGTTCATGGTTAGTATCCAACCCTTTGGATGATTAAATTACTATATTAAGGTCTTATACTACACTTATACTCGTGTAGGATATCCACTTTATTCGTTAATAGGGTTTATAAACAATTTTGGGTAATAACTAGAAACCAAATACAAACTGTTTTGAGAATCCAGATTTATACATTGTGTGTTTATCTGCCCTTTTTGATCTGTACACACCTCTTATCCTTAAGTGCAGCACCTCGTATGAAAGCTCTCTTCAAGACCTATCTAATGACACCTCACTCAAGCTCATTGGATAAGAGATCCGTGAGATATGAGGTGAACAATCTCGAGGGTTGAAATTGTACGAGCTAGTTGGCAGCCTTTTTCTCTTTTCTTGCTTCATTCTTTCCCCTTGTTCTTAGTTCGAGTAGAGCTGGTGGAGATGATGTTTTTGAGACTCTTTTCCTCCCTAATTGATTCTAGGGCCGAAATAATAGGAGGGTGGGTGAGTGAGATGTCCTTTTTGTCTTTCATGTATGAATGGTGTGGGGGAAAGTTTCATTTGATAACTTGATTAATCCCCCCATCATCTCAATTCATTTCCAGCTCTTCAACATGGTTCTCCTCACTTATTTGAGACCATAAGTCGTGGGGTGGCCCCCACCCATGTGGGAGGTCATCCCTTTATGTCCCAAAGTGTATTTTCGGTCCCGAAAGTTGTATTTTCCGGACTGTTTTAATTAAATTTTATTTTATCGGGTCAGATAAAATATGTATCATTATTCCAATCAATATTGGCCTCTATAATGAATATATATTACCCAACTTTAATTTAGTGGTCCCCGAGATTCATCTCGGGATGTTATCTGATTAATTAATTATATCGATAATGGGACCTCGCTTGATCGAAAAGCCAACTTTATGGCTCAACATTAATTTACACCATCATATAAATATTATCTAGACCAAGATGAATATAATATGTGGTCTGTAAATATTGGATGGTCCCCGCCCATGTGTGGGCCCAACGTGCATTTTACTGTTCAAGTAACAGTAAAAATGAGAACACGTTGCTTCAAAAATTCGTTCATCATTTCTAATGACTAAATATGTGTTTTCATATTTTGTGACACTTTAGTAAAATGTTACACTTATTTTTAAGTGGTCCGAACTGTATGAACAAATAAAATCTTATATGTTTATTCTTATACGAAAATATCTTCAAGGTAGGGTCCTCCAAAAGTACCCACCTCCAACATGTCAAGTTACTCATTATTATCCATCATCCCATATTTTGGGTTTTTAAAATATTTATATTCCTTGTGTTATTAATTCGTAGCCTTCCGAATTATTATTAATCCGATAATTAATGATTCACAATTATCGGATAGAGACCCCGGCCCGCTTGGCCGTCTAGTTGTCGTTCCTTATATCACTGGGGTCCATGACCCATCCCTACTATCATAATAATATCATTTTGGTAAACATTAATATTTTATAATTAAACTTAGAATATCACGAGAGGTTCCACGTCAAAATTAATAACCCTTTATTAATTTAAGACATAATTTTACTTTCTCATTTATCAAAACTATTATTAGTCTTGATTTACCTTCTTTAACCCAGTACTTGATGAAAAACTTTTCTCACAGTAAAATTAGGGTCCGGTGTTACATTTGGCTAGAAGTCTAGCCTTATGCTTAGAGTTGTACAACTCCCATCTGAGTTGTACTTAGTCCTGTATACCCACTTCAAACCAATGACGTTTTTCTCCTTAGGCAGGTTCACCAACTCCCAGGTCTTGTTCTTTTCAATGGCTTTTATCTCTTCTTTCATTGCTTGTGTCCACTCAACACAAGTGGAAGCTTCTTGATAATCTGCAGGCTCAGTAACAATAAAAGAAAATTCACAAGATTCATAGATATTGTTGGGATAATGGCCCAGGCCGAGGTCCGGCCCATTAACCCCTTTTTTCTATCGGACGCACGTCATGCTAGGACCAGGCTGGGCGCAGGCCCATGACCCTTGGGAAGAGACGAACGTCTGGAATTGGGGGGTCCAGGTTTCAAACGGCCCATCGCGACGAACGTATGAGCAGAGGTAAGGGGCAGGACCACTGGCCATCAGGGATAACGACGAACGTCTCCTGGGCAGGCCCATGATCGTCGGAGGAGATCCAGTCCACATGGAGAGAATCCACTAAGGTCAGGGGACGAACAGCCGAAGTCTCTTGAGGGTCACTTGGAGTGACCCAGCTCACCCCCTGGCGGGCGAACGTCCCCATTATTTAGGCGGGAAGCCTAGATTCTGGCGGGAAGTGCATTTAATGCAGAAGATTTGGTGGTTGGGACACAAGCGGTCCGCAGGCCTCCACGTCAGCATAGCCACCTGCCCATTGGCGGGTATAAATAGAAGCATTTATTTCATTGTAAAGGGTTGGCAACTTTCTATTCTTAGCACTCTAGCTATAGTATTCTTACTCGCAGCACTTCTACTGCCTTGTAAGACGAACGGCCGACGGAGCCTTAGCAAAAAGTATTGTATTAGGGAGTTATTAAGAGATAATAATACCTAATCACTTACTTGCTACCTTACTGTTTCTTGACCCCTATCATCTGCTTGTTGGCCTAGTTATTCACACGCACTCCACTCGAAATCTTTGGGCTTACGTGTTGGGCCTGAAGGTTGAAGGAATAAACCTCAACACTGGCGCCGTCTGTGGGAAACTGAACTAAAAGTTTCCAAAAAACTCTCCCAAACAGCTACTAAATCTACCCACAGCAAGCACGATGACAAGAAACAACCGCCAACGCGACCTCTCCGAGCAGTTGTCCCGCGGACGAAGCAGCCGCGGGCAAACCACGGAACGCTCCGAGACGTTGGGAACGACTGGGGGTGAGGGTGGCCTCACAAACCTCATCCCCCATGAGGCCAGGCATGACCCTCGACTCATGAGGGAGCTGGCGGAAACGATGCGCCGAATGGCGGACGAACAGGAGGCGAACGAAGAGGTGCATTCAGCCAACACCATCTGGACGCCCATATCGCCTGTCCGCCGCATGCAGACCCTGGATGAAACAGCGGAATCTGCCGGGCGCCGGACACCCGTCCACATGAGGTTGGGCCAGAATCCGTCTTCCCATGGAGCTGGGGGGCACACCAGCGCCAGCACCCCCCGCTATGGTTGGTAAGATGACCACCGGGGACGCACGCCGGATGTCCCCTCCGAACAGCGGGGCACCATCATTACCCCCGCCGCCAGTAACATTGGACGACGTTTCCAAAGACGTGGCGCCCACATCACACGAAGGCTACCCGACGCGGTTGCCCCACGAAGGAACATTGCGCTCGAGGCCGCCCCTCCTGTGTCCCCCGGAAGGGCCGCACAGGAGGCCCGGCTAGAGGCAATGGAGCGGCGATTAGCCGAGATGGATAGACGGGCGGAGGCTACCCCAGCCACGCCGCGTTTCTCCCTCACTTCACCTTTCACCCCGAGGGTCATGAATGCAGAAATTCCGCGGGACTGCAGGCCCCCCCAGGGGATAGTATACAACGGGACCGGAGACCCTAAGGCTCACCTGATCAGCTTCCAGGGGAACCTCTCTATGCTGGGGGCATCTGATGAGGCCATCTGTCGGCTCTTCTTCAGCACCCTGAGGGGTCCGGCGCAAGAATGGTTCGGGCAGCTGAGGCCCGGATCCATTGATAATTACGAACAGCTGTCCCAGCAGTTCATGGCACAATTCGCTGCCAGCACCACCCCCAAGAAGAGCTTAACATCGCTCACAAGTGTGAAGCAGGGGAAGGACGAACCTCTGGCCCAATTCCTGGTCAGGTGGAGAGATGAAGTGCTTCAGGTGGATGACCTGGACGAGCGGCTGGGAGTGAACATGTTCACCAGCGCTCTAGCAACGGGAGACCTGTACCGGGACCTTCGGAGGAATCCCAGCACCAGCTATACCGAGGTGCTGGCTCGGGCACAGAAGTACGCCTCCATTGAGGAGGAGATCAGTTTGAGGGACGGCACCCCTGCTGCCCCTTCCCGGAAATTGGCGGATAGGCTCGGTCCCGGAGGCGGGCCATCCCCCCCGAGCAAAAAGAAGAAGACGGACGGCGGCATGGTTCCGTGGAAGGCTCATCCGGAGGCCAGCCGCGTACGCCCGGAGGAATACCACGTCCCTCTGGCTTACCCCGTCAGCCAGATTTTCGACGCCATCAAGGACAAGGGCATCCTAAGGGAGCCCCAAGACAAGAAGGCCCTTATGGGTCATGATGAGACCGCATATTGCGAGTACCACCAGAGGGTCGGCCACCTCACCGACAACTGCAAACAGCTGAGAATGGCCATCGACGAACTGATCCGGCAGGGCTACCTGGGCGAGTTCACCCAACTACTGAAGAAGAATAGCCCGAGGCAGCCGAACCCGAGATCGCGGTCATGGCGCCGCGACGATCGGCGCGAGGCGGAATGATAAGTCCGTATTTAGACACGCATTTGATGCGTGTTGGGATCGACTTTTGATGGTTTTCCTAGCTTTAAGGTGTTACAAGTCTCAATTTTAGCTCAAGTTATGTTTAACAGGCGTTGGTTCGAGTTTTGTGTCATTTGGAGTCAAAATCAGGATTTTAGAGTTCAACATCGGCACTTGAGGAGCAATCGGGATGATTCGAGATGCATTTGAGTGTTGATTTGAGAGCTATGGAGGTCACCGGTAGGTTTACGATGAAGATTTAATGACAAAAGAGCTCTAGGATTGGCTATGGGATCAAAAAGAAGATGAATGAAGCTTGAAAATGACGATCAGGATGACCTTCTGTCAATCGGGCAAGCATATCTCTTTGTAGAAGCATCCAATGAACACGATTCAAAGTCCACATGAAAGCCAACTTCAAGATCTACAAATCATATGAAGACATCATTCCTAGAATCTGAGAGGAAGAAGATGAAAACAGACGATGAAGTCAGATGATCTCTGCTGCGATCTCAGAATGACACCTTCCACCGTTTTGATCATATCTCTTGATTGGATTATTCAAATCACATTCGGCAAATTGGGTTGGATAGAAGACTTCATCATCTACAACTTTCATGAAGAAAGTTTTGTCAAATTCGGAAGTTTTTACGCACGCCGTGCGTCCGGGTACGCACGTCGTGCGTCCAAGGCGTTAAATTGAAGGGAGCTACTGGCAGCAACGCACGGCCGTGCGTCCGGGTACGCACTCCGTGCGTTCAAGGCATTAAAATGGCGAAAGGCTACTGGCAGCAACGCACGGACGTGCGTAGGGGAACGCACTCCGTGCGTTGCCTATTTTCACGCGCAGGTCCGTCGGACGCACGGCAGCAACGCACGCCGTGCGTAGGCTCCGTGCGTACCGCGGATCTGTCCTTTTTCGACCCAAACTCATTGTTTTCTATAAATAAAGTCTCCCTAACCCCGTTTTTAGGGGGGGAAACCTAGAGAGAAGATTAGGGACGTGTTTTACAGTATTTTTCCGCTATTTTGTTCAAGACCCTGAGATTCTTTGTAAGTTTCAATTCTTTAATTAAT